ACAGTGGCTCGGCGTCTGACCCTTCGCTGTGGGCGCGTGCCGTCCACGATGGCAACACCCTTGGGCCAGCGCGCTGGCTCCCATGGCACGCACGCCGCCTGGCTGACGCCGCCCGCTGCGAACGCCTGTGCGTCTACGTGTCGCCCGCAGGTCATCCGATGGCCGAGGGCGTCGACCGCGCCGTCATCCGCAGCCTTGGGCTGTGTGACATCACCGTCATGGCTGCTGGCCCGGTGAAATGGCACTGGGCCGATTGATCGGAGAACGAGATGAAGCGGATCCCCTTCGGCGCCTGGCTCGCCGTCCTCGCTCATACGGCGCTAATCGCATGGGCGGTGGGTACCAACTGGATGGACGGCGCCCCCTGGTGGAGCGGATGGGCGCTCACGGCGATGGTGTTCGCCGGCTGCAGCGCCGTCTCCCTCACCCTTGCCACGGCGCCCGGCGCGCTTGAGCCTGGGAGCCGCGGCTTCCTCGCTGGCGCCTTCACCGTTGCGGCCTTCGGCGTCGCTGGCGGCGCTATGGCCCAGACGCCGAGAGAGGCTGTGTCGGCCGTGCTGCTCGGCGCGCTGGTCTCGGTCTATCAGGCTGGCATGTTCGAGTTGGCCGTCTCCCGCAGGCGGACTGACTGACGAGTCGGAGCCCCTAGGGAAAGTCCCGGTAAACGATGGGTAGACCAACTCGCCGATGTCTACCTGAAACCGACTCCACAGGTAGACAGTTGACCGTCCAGGGGCGACGACACGGAGGCGCTTGGTCGGCACAGTTGAGTCACGCCAAAGCCCGGCGCAACTCACTAGAGATCCACATGAACGCCACCGCCCAGCAAGCCACCATCCTGACCGCCAACGTCCAGTTCCAACACTGGCTGTACCGCGCCCACCCGCAAGCCTGGAAAGCAGCCGCCCGCGGCTTCGTGGGCGCCAGCGCTACCGAGATTGCCCGCGCCACTGTCGCCCGCCTGGCCGGCTCCGCTGACCTGATGGGCCTGGACGGCGAGGAGTTTCAGGCCGCCTGCGTGGCGCCGTTCTTCGCCCACCTGGAGCAGACCCAGCACTGACTCGAGCGCGCGGCCTGGTCGCGCCTCTCCACCCATCCAGGCCCGGCACCCCCGGGCCTGTTTCATTTCCAGTCGAGCGCGCTTCATGGTCGCGGGCTGTACGACGTTGCCCGACTCTTGCACGACGTGGGGCGCAATCAGGGCGGCGTGCAACAGGCGAAACGCTGCGCAGCGCTGTTGCGCCGTGTTGCGTGGCTGTTGCGTGGCGCGGATCGAATGCAATCGAAAGCCCGCCCGAAACTCGGCCGGCCGGCGCAACTTCTTGCAACCCGGGCGCAACCCGCCTCCCAATCTAGTCAGGCCGGGCTGCACGCTGGCCCAGGGCCTGTGTCCAATTTTGGACATCCTGTGTCCAACGCGGCCAAGGGCAACCGCCGCTGTCAATCGTTTGACAACTGGCCGTCAACCGCCCGCTGACGTGCTGCAGGCTGCTGCAGGCTGCTGCAGGCTGCTGCATTTCTTGCTGCGTCTGCTGCAACCTCAAACGCTTCGGAATGCTTCGCCTGGTGGATTCGGATGAGCACTTGGCCGACCACTTGGCGGTACTTCTGACGGTATGCGGCTGATGGTGCGGCAGTTAACGCCTTTTGAATCAACGGGTTGCAGCTCTATTCCCGGTCGGATAGCCGGCACCACCTCGAGACCCCATCGCCCCGCGGCGCTGGGGTCTTGTCACTTCTGGATCAGCTTGACGCGGATGCGCCCGGGCAGGCCGGCCTGAGGCCAGCAGGGCCTTCCAGACGCGGCAGCAGTTGGCGCAGCTTGGCGGCGACGGCCGCGTTGGCGACGAGCAGGCTCCAGCCGTCCT